CTTTCCATGAGATTATATTCATTGTCTAAGATGTCAACTTTGTTGATTAGTTATTCAACCCAAGGAGAAATGACATGTTTGGCAATCACTACATCTTTAAATGGAATGATTATTTTTCATATTCTAGCATTTTATATTTCTCCAAATGGTAGCTCCATAAGATAATAATAGGTAATTCCCAGAAAATCAGGGCCTGTGGTTAAATATGCTTGGTAAATGCCTGAATGAACAAAATTAAACATGTTTCTTTTGGTAGGATGTGTTGGACCCTTAAAATGCTTATGTTCACAGTGCATCTCCAAGAGCAGGAAATACTATGCAGCATTTCCCTTGTTCATTGTATTGGAGCCTATCATAGTGTGGATTGGTTATCTAATGCTGTGTAACAAATAGTCCCAAAGTTGGTGGCTTAAGAAAACAGATGTTACCATCTCACAATTTCCATTAGGAGTCAAGGCATGGCTTAGCTGGGTTCCTCGGGTGTAGGTCTCTCACAATCCAGTTGCCAACTGGGACTGTAGTCCTCCCAAAGCTGGACTGGGGAACAATCCACTTCCAAGCTCATGTAAGTGGCGGCTAGTAAGATTCTGTTCCTCACAGATTATTGGAACAAGGGACTCAGTTCCTTGCTGACTGTTGGCTGGAGTCTCCCCTCCCAGGTGGGCTTCTCTATAGCTTAGCTTGCAAAATGGCGTCTGGCCAAGTGAGCAAGTGAGAGAGAAAGAGAACATAGGCAAGATGGAAGCCAGAGTTTTTGTGTAACATAACCAGAAGTGATATACCATCACTTTTTTGATTAGTCAGAACAGGGGTCAACAAACATGGTCAGCCAGCCATATGCTTGCTATCCATTTTTGTAAATAAAGTTTTATTGGAACACAGCTAACCACATAACTACAACAGCAGAACTGAGTAATTGAGAGAGACCATCTGGCTGACAAAGCCAAAAATATGTACTGCCTGGCCCTTTACAGAAAAGGTTTGGCACCCCTGCGTTAGAAGCAAGTCCAGCCACTTGAGGGGAGGGATTCACAAGGGCATGAGTAGCAGGAAGCTGGGGCTACTGGGAGCCATTTTAGAAGTTGCCTGTCACATTAGTGCCTGCTAACGAATAGGCACTTGGCAGATATTGAGTAAAGGAACAATTGTTCACCTCTACCAATTTTGCAAATTCTAGGGCTGAAAAACAAGTTACTGGATAAGAAAAAGCCAAATTGCTTCACTGATTATTAGGATTTGACAACTGTGTCACAACTGTGACAGTTTATCAACTTGTGTGACCCTATTAGTAATTTCTATTATTATGTAAAATGAGCTATATGGTAAAATAAGCTTAGACTTGAATTAATAGATAGATCTGACAGATTATTCTTTCATGATGGTAGCAAATTAGAAGAAAGGGGAGTATTTTAGGGTACTTATTTGAGATGAGAATTCACTCTGAGGCAAATACTTATTGTAAATTATGTTTACAACTTGGTGGTCACCAATATCTTCTATCTTTAGAAATATGTACCTGGCATTTCTTCCTTGAGAAACTTAGATTCTAGGCATTGGGAAAAATCTATAGCAAGTCTTCTTCCTAAAGCATGAAGAAGGTGTAAACTACTAGGAGTGGAAAAAAAAATTTTAATCCCTTGAATATGCCTTCCAAGAGGTTATCTGGTTCTAAAGATTGTAGAAAAGAATGAGAGTACAAGAAAAGTGCATGCGATTGGTGAAAAAATAGAAATAAAAGACTATTCCAGTTAAATGCAGTGTTCTATATTCAGGGCATGTAAAAACATGATTTATTTTTAACGTAAACTGGTATATAATTTTAATGAAATGCATAAATAGACAATGGATAATGAAAGTGATGGCATGTTTTGCGGTAACTTGCACTATTGATAGCACAGGAGGTGATAGGAAATGCCACACTTGTGAGCCAAAACTGGGCATAATCGAATGCTGGATTTGCTCAGTTTAGAGCTATAAAATTAAAGCTATAAGAAGAAGCAACTGTACAATTTAAATGTCAGGAAAAATAACCAGCTATGTTGCTCTAAAACTTTCAAGTCCCTAATCCCTGCTTTTTCCCACTGAAAGAATTTTAGGGCATGGTTTCTGAGGTCCCCGAGGTACACAAATGTCAAGATGGGCCCAAAAGCAATTGCCTGGGTTGCGCTGAACTTTAATACTGATCATGTCAGGATATTCAGCTCTGATACTTATGGCAAGGTTTATTAATAAGCACAGTATAAGTACTTTTAAAAAGATAAATATTTTTAAGTACCAAGTTTAACTATTTGTCCTATTCATGAAATCAGAGCATATTAACCCAGAGCTATACGATTATAACCATGAATTACATTTTCTGTAGATTCTTTGTATTTCGCCTTCCCTACCCTCCCAGGGAGGGCACTGGGCCCTCACCATGACCTTGGAGAACCTGAACAGCTTCCGAATTATCCAAAAGACTGAAGTGGCGCTGGGGAGAAAAAAGACGTGTCCTGCGTAGGGTCAGGTTCGAGTTGGGCTGTGAAGAGTAAACGCTTACCTCCTCCGGGCACTCATTTGGGATAGAGAGAAAGTCACGGGGCACTGTGCAAAACGCTGCTTTTCACAGGACTCCAAACTGGCTTACACTAAAGGCTTCCTCCGTCGGCCAGTTCTCACCCTCTTTCCTAGCATGGAGTCCAAAACGTGGGGAGTGCGGAGGGGAGGGGAGGGTATCTCCCCACCTCTATCCCACATGAGTGCTCCGGGGGAGACACGAGTTTATTAGCCGCAGCCCCAGACAAATCTGACCCTATGCAAAGATTGTTGTGTTTCTCCCCCGTGCCACTTCAGTCTTCTGGATAATTCGGAAGCTGCTCAGGTTCTCCCCGGTCATGGAAGGGGAGCCAGGTGCCCTGCCTCAGTGCTGCTTAAGGTCGTCCCGAGGCTGCACGGGGAGACTAAACCGGCCCGGGCGCAGTGCCCAAGGGATCCCAAGCAAACGATGTGCGGCCCAAAAGCCAACGGCTTTACCTCCGGTAGGTGGCTGAGAGATGCGGCACCGAGAGGCTGCCTCCTCTTTGAACCACGTAGTGAAAAGCGGGAGCAAAACTTCGGGCCTCTGCTCAGGATGGACAGCAGCGCGCTGTCTCCATAGCGACCTGACAACAGGGCCCAGCGCCCCGCCCCGCCCCCCACCCCGGTCCCACCTGTACGCAGTTCACAAGCGCCAGGGCCAGGGCGACGCGGCAGGACCTTCCCAACCTGAGAGCCCAGACGCCGGGCTCGGACGCTCGGCTGCAGAACCCCAAGAGGAGAGCCCTGGACACCAAAACCGACGTTTGCTTGGTCTCAAAGAAAGCCAGCAATTTTAAGGCTGCGTGATGGGACACGTGGGGTTTCTTATCTTCAGCAAATCCTTAGAATATTTTAATACTTATTGTCAACGTTAGCATTATACAGGAGGCACCAAAACCAAAAAAGCAAACAAACAAAAACAAAAAACCACCCTTCCTCGTTGGTTTCTAATGGTTCTGGTCAAAATGCCTTTAAGCAGTTATTGTGAAGCCTTTCAGTTGTTCTCTATGTAGGTGGTAGTTATCATCATGGAAAGATGTTCACAATATGAGACGCAGGTTAGAAAACCACATGAATAGTATGATCTAATTTTTGTAAATAAGTTTAAGAAGTCTGGGAGTATGTACACCAATGTTAAATGGTTTGCTCTGGTAGTATTTTTATTTTATTTTATTGGGGGCCAGTGAGTTTTTCCAGGACTTATCAGCTCCAAGTAGTTGTTTCAATCTTGTTGTGGAGGGCGCAGCGTGTTGTGGTTGGGCCCATGTGGGGATCGAACCAGCAACCTTGGTGTTAAGAGCACTGCGCTCTAACCAACTGAGCTAACCAGCCACCCCTGGTAGTATTCTTAAAAATCATCTGTAATTAAAATTTATCCACAAGGATTATACAGTATATAATAAATACATTGTAAACCAGGCACCTCATTTTTTTTCCTGTTGCCTTTAACACGTTTAAGTTTTGTAAAAGGATATAAATTAGATAAGCTAAAATTTTGTTACCTGGGACCCACATGGGGTCCTCTGACACACAGGAGAAATAAATAAACAAGGTCTGCTGCTCTGTAACTAATCCACCGGAAGCAGCTGGTGCCTTACTCTATACTCTATCTCAGGCCCCATCCAAGAAAACATGTCACATGGCAGTTTCCTTTTATTCTGTCAGACCCTAGAGTGTTATTTCCCCCCTCAAATCCCTATTCTCTCAACCCAACAGAAACGTTTCCCAGGTTGCATGAATGAGCCTTGAAAACATTATGCCGAGTAAAAGAAACCAGTCACAAAAGACCATGTATTGTATGGTTCCATTTATAGAAAATGTCCAAATAGGCAAATCCATAGAGACAGAAAGTAGATTATTGGTTGCAAGTGCTGGGGAGTTTGGAAGATGGGAAGTGACTGCTATTGGGTTTCTTTTTGGGGTGATGAAAATGTTCCTGAATTAGAGTCTGGTGATGGGTGTACAACTCTCTGAATCTACTAAAAACCACTGAATTGGTCATTTGAAAATGGTAAATTTTATGGTGTATGGATTACTTCAGTAGAGCTGTTTGAAAAAGGAGATGAAGCTAACGTTTGCTGCACATTACTGCTGTCAGCTATTGTGCTAATCATCTTCTATGCACCTTATTACTTCCTTGTAACAGCCCTTGCAGGTTGGTTATTAACCTCTTTTTCTAGATAAAAACAAAAATTAAACTTAAAGAAACTGAGTAAATGTACATGAACACAAAGGTAAGGGGCAGAATGGGGAATCCAATCAAGGTCTAACTTTAAAGCCCATGCTCTTTTCATTATACCAATATTTAAATGTACACAAGGTACAGAATTTGCAAGGAAGTTCCAGAGCCTCAAATTTTCTGAACGCAGTTTCCTCTTGGGAATTGAACTCTTATATTCCCAGATTGAAGACTACAGGTTTCTACAAAACAGACAATAGAGACCAACTTAAAACAATCACTTTATTAAAAATAGCAAATTTCACAAGTAATCATTTAACAATTTGTTGTCACTGGCCACTGGAACACACATCAGCACTGTGTACTGATTGTCTAACGTAAACTGAAGCTGGGCTGCCACAAAAAGCCTGCGCATCATCAACTTAGATCAACAGTGGGATAAGTTTGGTGAGCTCAGGAAAGATAAGTCCTTCAGCCCTTTCAACAACATTTAGCACAATTCAAGTATAACCCCATAAGGCAACAATATAAAGCAGAGCAGCACAACCTCTTATCACATTTCCTGGTTAAGCCTTTGACAAGGCCTCCGGTTTATGGTAAATTATGGCAAGTCAAGTTTACTAAAAGCAGTATGTGAAAACAATCATTGCACTGGCACTTTAGTTACTTTAATTCGTTATTGTGGAAGATGATTCAGCTACTGGATTCAGCTGGAAAAGTAAAGAATGCTGTTTTTCTTCAAACCACAAGAAAGCAACTGCATTTCATTTTAGCTGGTGGAAGTATTTGGAACATCTTGTGCATCTGCCAAGTGGAGTTTTTGTCTGAATTCATCAGTTAAGAAGACTTTCATCCTATAATAATTAGTTCTTTTAAATTTCTGGAAATTACACTCAGGAGCGAAGAGAGGGAGGTATTATAAAAAAGAAATATGTTTAAAGGGAAAGTGCCAATATTGCTATTGAGAAATTTGAAAGTGGTAAGACAACTTTTAAATGTAGTGAAGTAATTATGCTATGCTTAGGATTTGAAGACTTCAAAACAAATCACTGAATCAAGTCTACATTCCAGGTTCTAACAGAGCAGAGGATTACCTTAATGCAGTAAAAATCATTTTCATGGTAAGGAGCTGATTTGAGGCAAATATAATTTACTGGACTAAAAAAAATTCATTTGAGAAGACAACACCAGTTTATCATCCTTCAGAAAACACAATTTCTTTGTAAAAGTCAAAATTAAGATAAAATCTTCATAGCTCTAAAACCTTCCCTATTGTAATTCTCTAAATGATTCTTCAAGAAGATTGGAAATAGCTGGAATTTCTGTAGATGTAAGTCCCTTATCATCACTGCTTTTCATTTTCACTCTTTCATCTATATGATCTGCTACCTATTTTTCAAGACCCAATTCAAACAATGATTTGGATACATTGAGAACTAAATGCAATACATGTATGGCAGAGGTTGCAAAAATATAGGCATGAGCACAGCCATCAAAGACATTCTTGTCCAGTTGGAATGCTGAGATTTAACACATATAAAAATCAACAGATAATGAAGAAAAGGCAGAATGCTAGTTTGAGGTACCAACAAAATGCTGTTGGAAGTGATCAGCTTCAGTGTTATTTGATAAGGAGAAGGGGGAGGCCAGAGCAGCTCTAGGCACGAAGTTCAGCCTGAACAAAGGCATGAAGGTGAACATGAACATGAAGTGCTCTTGGGCATCCAGAGAACCAACTTGGTGGCAATATAAAGTATGACAGGATAGACAGGTTGTGATTAAATTACTGAGACCCTTTAGAACAGCGGTTCTCAACCTGTAGGTCGCGACCCCTTTGGGGGACGAACAACCCTTTCACAGGGGTCGCCTAAGACCATCGGAAAACAAAAAGGTATTTACATTACGATTCATAACAGTAGCAAGATTACAGTTATAGAGTAGCAACAAAAATAATTTTATGGTTGGGGGTCACCACAACATGAGGAACTGTATTAAGCGGTCGCGGCATTAGGAAGGTTGAGAACCGCTGGTTTAGAAAGTCTGACATGGTAAAAAATCTTGGTAAGAAATAGGAGTGGCAAGATGAAAGTGATGTTTTAGGAAGAATAGTAGCAATATCTAAAGTCTACAGCAGCACTCTCCAATAGAAATATAATGCAAGCTACAGATGTAATTTTTTAAATATATTTTTTACACTAATATATCAAAAATTATCATTTCAATATGTAATCATAAAAAATACTGAGATACTTCACATTCTTTTTTTGTATTAACTCTTTGAAATCAGGTGTGCAATTTATACTTACAGCACTTTTTAATCCACATTAGTCACATTTCATGGGCATACTAGCTACATGGCTAGCAGCTGCCATATTGGACAGTGTAGCTCTAGAGCTGGAATAGAAATTTGAAAGGTTATGGAATCAGGTGAGCAGGGTCAAGAATGAAGGAAGAGTAACAGGCAGAACTAATGATGTGTGACAGCTGTAATTAAGAGATGACTGACAATTCCATGTCCATGTCCAGGCTCAATGGCAGAAAGGGCCATGATCGATTAGCAATATCTGCTGTGGTCATAGAGGGATTTTAAACTAGTCTTGGCGACTGAAATAACCGAGGCACTGATGATAGCGAGGGAAATTAGGAGGCCGAAGTTTGAGGAAACTAGGGTGGCCAGACTTTGCTCAAGGTTACACAGCTGCTTACCAAGATTTGAAACCAAGCAACCCGAAGCCCACGCTCTTATATTCTACCACGCTGCCTTGTTTAACTGTGGTGGGTGAATCGAGGAAAGCGGTGAGACAAGTCAGTCTAAATGTTTAGCAAAAACTCAGGTAAGAGGGTAGGAAATGCGTAAGTGTCATAAACATAGAAGAAATATAAAGTTTGGAACAAGTATAAAGAACAAAGAACCAGAAACTATTTCTAAGAAAAGCCCCGTAATTAACTCATAGCTTACCCCATATTTCTTAAAATGATGATGATACCTTACATTAATATCTCCCCACAGTTTATGTGATTTCTCAAAATCTTCTGTAAAATGGGGAGTATAATACTGCCTACTTCCAAGGGTAGCCCAAATGAGATAATGTGTGTTAAATCCTTCATGTAATACTTGGCAAATTGTAAGTATTCAATAAAAATTAGCTATGAATTGCTATTACTGGATATGTATATATTTCCCTATTTCATTGTTGTTACTGAACAATTTAGCAATTAATAACAATATGTTATGATAATAGTGATATATATATAGACACACACACACAATGTAGTTTGGAAAATTTCACATACACCTCATTATAGGCAGCGATTATCCCATATTAAAAAGGACACTGTGACATCCAACAATTTGCTCAAAATGTGGAACCAAATTTCAAAAGTCAAATCTCTTGGCTCTACAACCAGTATTTGGGTCAAAGGGGATGTCTTACCTCTCAAATGAAATTATTTTATAGGCAGAATCGTTTCTTATTGTTCTTATGTACCTCACATTGTGCCTATCAATATGTTAAAAAAAAAATACATTTTGCAAAGTTCCTGAAATAATTGCTCTAAATTGAAATGTCAAAACCTGAATATTTTACATGTGCCTTGGTAATTTCCTTTAAGCTAATCCTATGATACACTCTGTGCACTTAATTATGAAAATGTCATTTCACTAACTATGTAAGCATCCTTTGGAGGCTGAATTTTAATGATGTCTAATTTTCAATTTTATGCATTTAAAATATTTATGTAATAATATTAAATTAAGCATAGTGTATCTGGATATCCACTGCTATTTAGCCTCAGAATCTAAGGTTCAAAATAATTTATATGACAACTAGCCTAATCCTCAATTCTCTTGATTAAAAATTTGTTGTTTTAAAAATACAAAAACAATACAAAGCAAAGCAGAACAAACAGAATTTCTGCATACAAAACTATAAAATTCCATTTGAAAGCAAAGGGGAAGAGAGATGGCCCCACTAAATAACAGCAGGTGTCTTTGTTCACTGTATCTAAAAAACACATCTTTCTAAAACTTGATTGGGACTATTTACCAGAAATGATAATTTGTAGACTTTTCACTGTTGATATTAGGCAAAGGATACATGGATGAATTCAATTCTTCTAACTGTAACACAAAGAAACATATTTAATTTTAATTATTTTCTGCTTCAATCCACAAATTGGTTCTGACACTCCAGACAAAACACTGTTCAAAGTACTGTTCCAATTTTAGTATATGTGGGGCCGAAGCAAGCACTAATTTTAATTATACATTTTTAAATAAATTATTTTTCATTTAAGGTTTCTTTAAATGAAAAAACAAAATATTTTAAAAAAAAAACCTTTTCAAAAATTTCCAGGCTGGGAAATTCACTTAAGCAAAATAATTAAAAAGTAGCTTTAGCATATATTAAACAAAAATATGAGAAGAGAATTAAACCAAATGATAAAAACTGGAGTGTTATGAGTATCTTAAAATCATACATAATTATAATAATAGTTACAATTATAATAATATAGTTATTACAATTATAATATCTCCAATATTAGTTTTTAAAAGAAAAAAGTTGACATTTTAATGATCAAAATCTTTAAAACCTTTATGGATTACAAAAGGATTTCATGTGACATTTAGTTTTCAGTATGAGGTAGAATTAATTACCCCTAGAGGAAAAAATCTGAGTTACAGATAAGTTAAGTTGCTCAAAGTTACAAATGCAGACCCTGGACTAAACAATGTCTCTCTGGTTTCAGATTCGGTGTTATTTTCACCATACCACAGTCACTCTCCTAAATGTATTACAAATTAAGCTTATACAGGGTGGCCCATAAGTCACTTTCTCCTTAAAAATTTGAATAAAACTTTTGTTTGTTAATTAATTTATTGTTTTTAATAATCCTACGTACAAAAATGAGATTTTTTTTAGCTATTTATGAAAAATGATATCACGTAAATAGCCCCCATTGGAAATAACACATATATGCTCTGTGAGCTGAAACAATGGCACTCTGATTTTCTAAATAAAATTTGACAATTTTTACACTTTGCTCCATTGTGTTTTTTTCCATAATAAATTTCCAAGAAATAAACTTTGAAAATCTGAAACAAAATTTTTTTTTAAATTAATGACAAGCACAATTATTAAACTTTTAAATGGGAAAGCGACTTATGGGCCACCCTGTATTTGTTAAGAGGAACTGGTAAAAGGAAATAGTTGCAACACTAAACATAGTAGACTTGAAATAAAAAATATAGGCTTGAAAATTTCAAAATATAGGCATATAATTTCCCTCACATTTACTTATTCAAAAGATAGAGAAAAACAATAGAACTTCATTGGTGAATATGGAAATTGTTCTGAAACTAAAGTATACTGAATTCAATTTTTATTTATGTTTGTTCCAAAAAAGATTTAAAGAGGCAAAATTAATTAACACTTCTCGGTATAAGAATCATAAATAGGGTTACGGGCTAAATTATGTCCACCCCAAATTCATGTTTAAGTCCTAACCCCTAGTGCCTCAGAATGTGAGTGTATTTGGAGATGGGTCTTTAAAGAGGTAATTAAGTTAAAATGAGGTTATTAGGTTGGGCCTTAATCCAAAACGACTGGTGTCCTTCTTTAATAAGAAGATGAACTGTAGACACAGGCACCCATGCATTCACGGAGAATTCCATGTGAACATGAAGACGGCCATCTACAAGCCAAGAGGCCTCCAATGAAACCAACTATGTCAACATTTTATCTTCAACTTTGAGCCTTCAGAACTGCGGGAAAACACATTTCTGTTGTTTAAGTCACCCAGTCTATGGTACTTTGTTATTGCAGCTCTAGCAAGCTAGTACACACAGAAATGTATTAAATTACCATAAACATTAAACATAATTCTGAATTTACAAGTAAGTAACAACCCTGAGTAAATAATGCAATATGTATTAATCATGTCAGGATTTTCTGACATACTATCTTCTACATCTAAAGATCTTATCATATATGTACAGAAACTAATATTTCACTTTAAGATTTGCCAGCATTCTCAGAATATATACATAATTTCTTTGGAATATGTTTCTTTGAAAAAAAAGTACAACATGGTGAAACCTGAAAACATTACACTAAGTGAAAGAATCCAGACAAAAGGCCGCATATTATATGATTCCAGTTATATGAAATGTCCAGAATAGGCAAATCCATTGAGGCAGAAAGTAGGTTAGTGGTTACTAGTGGATGGGGAGAAGGGAGAAAGGAGAGTGACAGCATTTCTTTTTCTGGAGTGATGAAAATGTTCTGGAATTAGACAGTGGTGAGGTCTACACAACACTGTGAACATACTACAAACCACTGAATTGTGTATTTTAAAATGGTTAAAATAGTGAATTTTATCTCAATAAAAATATTTACTCAGAAAAGAATAAAGACAAAGAACTATACTCACATCAGACAGGAGCCTATCCAGGTTAGAATCACTAGCTGTTTTTCTCTTATCCTCAGGAAGTTCCTCTAACTCCCCATAAAGCTCCAAATTCAAGCGAGCTAATTTCTCCTGCATTCCCCGAACATGTTCCATCTGTTCAATAGAACATTCATTTCCTGGGGGAACATTCCAGAATGTTAATAAAGATTAGGACAATTCAAACTAACTGTCTTGAGTAAATACTTTTAAATTCTAGGTGCTGCAAAAGAAATTCATTATTTTTTTATAATTACTTTGTTAATGATTACATATTTTCTGGATATAATTACAAATCAAATTTCTGACAACGAAAACAACGAGTATCTAAGAAATGACCATGGACATTAAACAAATATGATAGGAAAGCTTTTTAAAACATCTCTTAGGTAAAGGAAGTATTTTTTTCAATAGTAATATCATATATAAAAGTGATAGCATCATCTAATCATCTTCAATTTGACAAGTGTCATTTGAATCAAGTGATCCAACATTTTATAACAATCTGAGTGAAATTACGAGTCATATTAAGGACTTCAATCATGAATCATTTTGCCAAACAATTATGTGTTCATCCTTTAAGAAATATATATGAAAATACTTATGAAGCATGTACAACATTATGAAGCATGAGAAACACAACATAATATTTTTCAATTGTATACACAGTAGTACAAGACAACTTAATTGCTAAATGAAATCTAGGATGATTGCATTTTATGCCTTGGACTATTTTTTTTAACAAACAAAAATGACACTTTTAAAAGGAATGGCAAAATACACACAGAAAATAGGACGTAAACAGCTACAAAAGAAAAATGGTAAACACAAACATCTGTTGCTTACCAAATGCTTGAAGTTTTCCAGAGTGGAAATCATTCAAAAGACTGAGAAGCCCCCGCTCCATCTCCTGAACATCTGAGACATCAGTGAGAAAGGAATGCTGGATCGGAGTTGACTGAGCTCCCTTTCCTTCTCCAGCATGAGCTTTGGTCTTTTCCTTCATCACTCTGCAAAGGAGATGCAATGAAAGAATTAATTGTAGGATCCAAGATGGCAGAGTAGATAAATGCTGAGCTTGCCTCATCCTGTGGACACATTAAAATTTCAACTAAATTATAGAAGAATCAACTTGGAGAACCATCTGAAGTCTAGATGAGCATAAGTTTCGTAACTAAGGGTAAAAAGAAGCCCCACTGAGACTGGCAGGTGGGGTGGAGAAGCGGAAAGGGCTGGTCACACACCTCTGTGTGGCGATTGAGAATCAGGAGGGACATCTTGACCATGAAGGTTTCTCCTGGAGGAGTGAGGGGTCCTAACCCCATACACAGCTCCCCAGCCCAAAGTACTAGTGCCAGAAAGGGGAGCCGCCACAACATCTGGCTGTGAAAAACAGTGGAGATTCTGATCATCAGAAGGCTGCAGGAAACCCAGGTGTCCTCTTAAAGGGCCCACAAGCAGACTCACTCACTTGTAGGCAATCACCTTGGGCTCTTGCAGAGGGACAGTGATCGGGGGGTGTCAGACACATATGGGGAGAGACTGAGTTGTGTGGCTTTGGGGAGAGGACTGGAGGTACAGTTGCCATTTTCCCTGTGTGAGGTTCGCCTCCCATGCAGCCAGCAGCATCTTTCCTGTGTTGAGCCCCCCTTCCCACACCCATGGCCAAATCTGAACCTGAACTGGTCTGGTGAGCTCTGCTCACTCCCTGGTGACTCAATGAGACCCTACCTCACATCTAGGATAAAAAAAAGAAAGAAAGCAAGGGATTGAGAGCCTATTTAAAGAAATAATGACTGAAAAACTTTCCTAACCTGGCAAAAGAAATAGACAGACAAGCCCAAGCAGCACAGTGGGTCTCAAGCAAGATGAACCCAAACAGGCCCACACCAAGACACATTATAATTAAAATGGCAAAGGTTAAAGACCAAGAGAGAATCCTAAAAGCAGCAAGAGAAAGACAACTAGTTATTTATTAGGGAGCTCTCATAAGACTGTCAGCTGATTTCCCAACAGAAACTTTGCAGGCCAGGAGTGATTGGCATGAAATATTCAGTGATGAAAATCAAGGACCTACAACCAAGGGTGCTTTATCCAGCAAGGCTATCATTTAAAATCAAAGGACAGATAAAGAGCTTCCCAGATAAGAAAAAGCTAAAGGAGTTTATCACCATCAAACCAGTATTACAAGGAATGTTAGAGGGACTTCTTTAAGATGAAAGAAAAAAGATTAAAAATATGAATAATAAAATGGCAATAGCTACATATCTATCAACAATGTAAATGGATTAAATGCTCCAATAAAAAACATACGATGGCTGAATGGATAAGAAAACAAGACCCTTACACATGCTGCCTACAAGAGACTCACTTCAGATTGAAAGATACACACAGACTGAAGTAAAGGGATGGAAAAAGTTATTTTATGAAAGTGGAAACAAACAAACAAAGTGTCAGTTTAAATGCTATTTCCTCAGAAAGGCCTTTTTAGAACTCCTAGGCTAGAGGAGTTATTATTACACATGTCTAGCATACACCAGGCTCTCAAACACTTGCGTGACGGTGCTATACACACCGTGATATGGGAAGAGAGAAAGGGCAGTGTACCTGATCTAGGGGCAGCCAGAGAAAACTTCCTAAAGGTGGTGTGTGAGTGAAGCCTTAAGGAATGAGTAGTAGTTCACCAGGCAAAAAAGGGAGAAGGGGTTGTGTATTCTCTGTACAACCCCAACACGTACTACAGATCCTGCCAGGCAGGACTCAATTAATATCTTCATAATGATGTGTGAAGGTATCTTTCCCACAAGTGCACTCACCACAATAAGGATAAGATGAAGAGGGAATAGGGTGGGTACGGGGGAGGAGGTAGCAAGAAACAAATTCTCTTCACAAGAAATCAACTTAGGACACATAGGCTGTTGACAATAGGTCAGTAACAGTTCTTTACAAAGCAAGATCTGTATCTTATATACATTCAATAATATTATTGAATGATATTAAATAATGCTACTCAAGTGCCGTCCAAGACCCATAGCATCAGCCTCACCTGTGCGCTTATTAGAAGCCCGATCCCGGATTAACTGATTTGGAATCTGCACTTTAAAAAGATCCCTGAGAGACCCACATACACATTAAAATCTGAGACAAGCTGCTACAGACTATAAGGTTTTAGTATAGCAAGTGTATATCTTTTCTTTCAAATTGTAAGTTTTATCCAAGTTAAGTGTTTTGCATTAGTTCATCATTTAGTAACCCTCTCAAGAAAGAAAAACATCTGTCTATTCTTACTTCAATGTTTTTTATCATGTTACACTGTCTCACTTTATATTAAAATAATTCAACAATAAAAAAGCACTGGATATTATACTAAGTGCAAAGTCCTACTGTAAGTACTGTCTCATACATAAGGATGATCAATACAGCCCCAGCCCTCAAGAAGCCTACATTATAACATGCAGAGAAATAAAAGAACAAGGTAGAAAATGACAGTAAGATATAAAGAAACCGCTATAAGAATTTAGAAAAAGGAATGATTACCTTTACAATCTCTTGGCTTTTTTTAAATTTTATTTTATAATTTTATTGGGGAACGGCCATGGTCATTGGTTACACGTTGCTTTCATGCTACAATGGCATACTTGACTTTTAGGGAGAGCACAGCTCACAGTAGCCCACGCAGGGATTGAACTGGCAACCTTGGTGTTATCAGCAACACATGGTCACCCCCTTGGCTTTTTTTCCACCAACCATAACCATATTAAAATTTTGATTCTTAAGTTAAACTCCTCCAGGAAAACCCCTTTCCAATCTGGTAATTTATTCAAAGGAAACTCTCATAACTCTTAGTTATCACTTAGTCCTTATTGGAAATTTCTTTTCCAAGTGTTTTTGGCTATGTCCCTTTTCTTTCCTCAAAGAGAGTGTGAGTTCATCAAGGCAGGAATCTTGTTTTTTGTGTAAACCCAATAGGTACAGAGTGCTACAAGCATTACTTCTTTAAATGACTGTCAACGATGACCTTGCAATTTGAAGAAGGTTTATTTGATAATAATTAGACAAATGATCAAGATTATGAAAGGCTTTTTCTCTGAAGATGTTATCTTGCTTTCCAAATACTTAATACTATAAAATACGCACATATATGTGGTAGTAATATATAACACATTTAAACTTGTTACTCCCATTTTCTTTAGAGCCTGAAGACAAATGATGTTCACCAAATATTAATGATTATGTCTAGGTGGTGGGATTTTAGTGTTTTAAATTTCTGCTTTGAATTCTTCCTGTGTTTGAATGTTTACAATAAATACAAATCATTTCTATAAAAATGAAACCACTCGTTTTAAAAATAAAAACTACCAGGGCCGGCCGAGTGGCGCGATGGTTAAGAACTCGCTTGGGATGCCAGAGGGCCCCGGTTCGGATCCCACATATGAGGGCCAGTGACACTGGCGTAGGCTGCAGTCCCTGTGGCAGTGGGTTGCCATGGGCTACCGTGTGTAGCCAGCAGCCAGCGTGAGCGGCCAGCAGCCGCAGTGAGCAGCTGTCCTTAAGTCCAGAAGCCGGCGACTGATCTGCCTCACCCGAGAAGAGCGTAATGATGGTGCCAACTTGGGCAAGTGAAGCACCGTCTTCCACAACTAGATTGAAGAACAAAATGACAGCAACTTGTCTGTTCCCCTCCCCCAATCCCCCAGCACTGTTCCCATCCCCCCAATTCCCCAATAAAAATCTTTTTAAAAATTTAAAAAAGAAAATAAAAACTACCAAAGCACAAATACTCAGCTTAGTTAAAAAAAAAACAAACCTGTATATCTTTTATCCCATTTCTGGCTAGCTCATCAACTTTGTCTACAAGTTTTCTTGCTCTGTAAGGGCCTTCAAACCAATCATTCATTTTGCGTTTTCTAATCTCTACACATACACTGTAACTTCATAAATTTTTTTCTAAATCATATATATGTGCTGCAACTAAAGTCAATAAAAGAGAAGAAAATGTAAGAAGAATTACAGGATTTATAATAGTATTTACTTTACTAGCATTTTGCTGTGATAATATGAAAGAAACAAATTCACCTTTTTAACTTTGGTCGCTGTGACGTTGACTGTGATGCAGGATTTGAAAACCCCGTGCTTTTACTAACTGGAATGGCATTTTTTTTGGCATTCGCAACCTGAGTCGAGTGGGCACTGAAAGACTTGGGACTCCTCCTCTTCGCTTTCCGTTCCTCCATTGTTTTAAGTTCCTTACTGCACCAAGGCCAGCTTCTTATGACCTAAGGAAACACAGCTAAACTATACATGTATGCTGTAATATGCGAAAACGAAAGAGGTTCAAAGACCCACTTCATAGGCTGAAAGAGGATCAAGAGAAAGTTAGAATAAGGATGCCTTAAGTTTAATCTACCATACTAGGTACACAGAAGCCCTCAGCACAACTGTCCACAAATTTTTTTTTCACTATTTTCTTTACCCACTCATCCCACAAATGTTAACTCTCTTCCACTTGTCAGGCACTATTCTGGGCATTGGGGAGATGGTACTGAACAAGACAAAATCCCTGCCCTCAAAAAGCCTAATTAGAGGGGAACAAGACATACAAAAATCAACAAAACAGCCATGTGATAGTCCCAGGTTGACTCAAGCTTCAGGTGGCCTTTAGGTCTCCCTTCTAAATGTATTCTTAGAAGAACCCACTAGATTCAAACAGATGTCTAATTGACAGGAGCATCTGTATTTTAATTAGTGACTAGAAACTTTATTTCAACTACCACGCAGAAACTCAGTATCTGCCTAGGAATAATACTAACTCTAGTTCTTTGAGCAAGTGAAGTTCTGTAAAATTGAATTTGTTTCATGACTATTTTCTATATACTTTCTCTACCTATTTCCATGGAAACATGAAACTTTGTTATATATGGTTAATTTTGCTAATATAAAAAAATTTACACTATGAAGTTACAGCTGGCCCTTCCAGAGAAATTATGTACAGCCTTCTGTTTATCTAGTACTTTCCCCTTACTTTATGTATTAACCAGCTTTATTTTCCTGATCGTCATCCATCTAAAAATTTCCTCCTCCATTTCCTTTTTGTTTATGCATAATATTAAATTCTTCTTATAGTGTTTCACGTATAATGAGAAATTTCTATGGCTATTTACATCATCAGATTGTAAAGTTCTTAGCACTAGGCCTTTTTTTGTACGTTTTGTGTGTTGGATTTAATCATGCTATGACTATACAAAAAGATTCACATCCATTGATGTCACTCCTAAAATAATTACTTGAGAATTTTCATGAAAACAGAAATTTTGCTATTGTCTAGAATTGGTGCCAATAAGCACTGGAATTTAAGCCATTCAGCTTAATTGGCTCAGGCTGGCTCTACAATCATAACAGGAGCTATGACCCCTCCAAAGAAGCAAAGGTTTTTAAAGGAAAGGCTCTACTACCCAGTTTCTAATCCCAGGTATCAAGTGTATTCCCCTCTATCTTGGCTAACAATTTTTCCTTTAAGAAGCATTTTTAGTAATAGAACAGGCATTTTGGGGTTGTTTCAGCATGCAACACAAATTAAATGGAACTTTAAAAAAACTGAAGAGAAACGAGGGAATATCAGTTCTCCAAGAAGCAAGGATCTGTGTAAATTTTATGATACACATAAACACCCTGGCCTTCGAATTCAATGCTGATACACATTTGGTGACACAAGAAAAAGAGGGGAAAAAAAATGTAGGAAGCAATGCAAAGCAAATAAACCAGTGGTGGTCTAAACTAAGATGTTCTGAGGGGCTCGAAATTTATCTGTTTGGGGAAGGTAACATCTGTCACAAATGCGCTGAAATCCTTGTACACCAAGCAGCACGGAACCATTTAGGGAAGGCCTTCGTCAACGGCTTCGTACACTGGTTTTCAGAGCCAGGAGCCCATGCCTCCAAGCAGGAGGACCCCCGTGACTTCACCTCATCCCCCTTCCCCAATCTGCTGACCCTTCACCGCCCGGAGTCCAGCAGTGGCCACGGTGAGTGGTGGTGGTGGTGGGGGGGCGCTACTGGGGACCCTGCGGGGGTGGCTTTGCTTACACCTCATACCTGAGGAAGGAAGTCCTCTTTCTCAAACTGCAAAGACTCCGGCGTCTCGGAAACCACCGCCTCCACTGCAGCCGCCAACACCCCTGCAGCAGCTTGAGCCGGGGTCACATCCCGGACCCCGCGCCTCCACCACTGCCTGTGTTTACGGAAATGACGTAAGGAGGTGGAGCTTTCGTGCTCCCGGCGGGAGCCTCGCCTGTTCCGGGTCCACCAGTGCCGGGCGGGTCTGCGCCCTATGCACCGCATTGCTTCCCCTGTCCGGCCTTCAGAAGTACTTTCGGCGGGCGTGGCAAGGAGCACCCACTAGCTGGGTTTTTATTTGGGGGTCTGTGGCCCCAAAGCAGGGAAGGATAAAGGGTAGCAGTGGAGGCAGGCACGAGAAATACAGTAACCCTTCCGGAAGCTGCCCCGCCCCTTCGGTGTCAGCTGCTACGCACTACAATTCCCAGCGTGCTATTCGAGCAAGCCCGGAGGCGGAACCAGAGTGTCGCCATAACAACCATTCTAGATTGTTTCTGATACATCGCCCGGACTTCGCAAGGTAAACCAACTTTGGCTTGGAAGGCAGCGTGAAAGACTGTGATTCTGTTTAGGGACCCCAGTGCTGAGCAGATTTAGAACCCAAGTGCGATTTTATTACTACGACTACTATTAATAACTTTGTTCAGGCACTAGACATACGTTATCTCTACACCTAACTACAATTTTGTGATCATCTTCGTTTTAGTGAAAAGGAATCTAACACTCAGGAAGGCTAATAAACCCACGTCTCTTGGTTGCCAAGACAGTTCTTCCACTCACATATTGCCTCTAGAGAAGGAATTGCCGATTGAGAGAGATGGAACTATCCTAAATGAGGGGAGAAATCCATTTTATTCCCTAGTTTGGGTGGCCTTCTCTGTGTGGGGTTTGGGAGTGGGCAGGTGTTAGGTTCATAGACCGTTAGGTTGAAGAGACTCTGGAGAGCACCAAACATTTCTCCCACATTTGCTAACGAGAAAATGGAAAACCGAAGCTGGAGATTATATCAATGGCAGAGAGGCAGAGCCAAGACAAACCCAGTTATCCTGGCTTCTAGCATGGGATGTTTGTCCACCACCGCCACCTTCCATATTTAAAAATTCTGAAATGTTTTATAAAGAAAAACAGTAAACATTCAGGTACCCACTATGCAGACTAAATAGAGGTTACATTCTGTCATTTTATATTTTTAGATAAAAGAAATATTATAGAATGTTGCAGATAAAGTGGGTGCCACCTATTCCCAGTGCCATTCTACTTCCCTTCAGAGATGCAACTACTATCTTAAATTTGACGTGCATCTTGCTAATCTAGGTTTAGTATACTTTCACTATTACTATGTTCATAAGCAATATATAGAATTACTTTGGGCTTTTGGAGTTTTACATGAATGCTATTGTAGTTTGCGTATTGATCTACAACTTAACTTTTTCACCCACATTGATACATATGGATAGACAATTTGTTTTAACGCTATAGTAGTCTATCAAATAAGTTTGCCACAAATTATTTGACTATTCCTATAATGATGGATATCTAGGTTGTTTCTCACTTTTCACCATTTCAAACAATACAATAGGGTGTCATCTTCCCAGTATCTTTTCTCAAAGCTCATCTTAACTGATCTCTGAATTGTTTTATCGTTATGAGCAGAGCTTGCAAACTGGTGATTCACAAGCTATTTTAATTATTTCAAATTGGTTGCTAACAGTTGAAATTAAAGGAATAAAAAAATGGATGTCATCCCATCCATTTGGTATCACAATAATAACGGAAAGCTCTGATCAACTAGATCTGCACTGTAGCCTGGCAACAATAGTTCAAGCTCAAGAGCAGCTGCCTCCTCTATATTAGTTCAAGTGGTCTCTAGTTTTTCTCTGATTCCCTCTATCTTTAGTACCCATTTGAACCCTGTGGTATTTGCATTTGCAACCACCAGTATAAGTTAGCAACACAAGAAGATACCCTTCAAAATGTACATATTTCAGGTATTCAAAGTTCTGTATTGAGTCCCTATTTTGACCAGACACTGTCTAGGAGGTCAGGGGGCATCCATGAACCAGACGGACAAAAGCCTTATAGTCAGAGATCTTATATTCTTGATAAGAAAACAAATAAGACAGTTTCAGTGATAAGTTTTCTGAAATAACAGCTTAAGGTCATAGGGAGTTATTGTAAGCAGTGGGGTCCTGAAGAGGCAGTGTCAGGGAGGGCCTTCCTGAAAAGGCCACTTTGGAGGTTGAGATATGAATGAAAAATAGGAGCCAACCATGAAATGATCTGGGGGAAGAGCATCCTTGGGCAAAACATGGCTACACCAAAGGTCTTTAGGCACAAATGACCTTGGATGTTTGAGGAAGCAAAGGGTTGGTGTGGCTGGACTGTACTATACTGTAGGGACAGAGCAACATGAGATAGAGTCACAGAGGCATATTTTGAATGTGATTTTTTATTAGTTTCACGTGTACAAAGCAACGTAACAGTTAGACATTTACACCCCTCACAAAGTGATAACACCAGCTCCCTCCAGGCTACTACCCTTCTGACATCGTATATAGTTGTTACAATACCATTGACTCTATTCCCTATGCTGTACTTTACATCCCGTGAATAAGTAAATACACACACGCACACACACACACACACATAGGGTGCCAAAAAATGTATACATATTTTAAGAAAGGGAAAACTGTATTAAAATTGTAATATTCAATATATACCAATAACAAAAGATGAAGTGCTCGAAATGGTTATCATCAGTGTAATTTTAATACAGTTTTTTCCTTTCTTAAAATGTGTATACATTTTTTTGGCACCCTCTGTGTGTGTGTGTGTGTGTGTGTGTGTGTGTGTGTGTATGTGTGTCTGTATATTATGGTTGACATTCAATATTATTCTACTTCAGCTTCAGGTGTATAGTGCAGTGGTCAGGCATCTACACTGAATTTGAATTCTTTTACTTGAAATCTGGAGTTCCTTCCTGAAAGAAATTTTGTTCTTTGAGGTTTACTAGATATTCCTTTTACTGCAAAATTGACTGTTAAATGCACAGCTTGTATAAGTTACTCTATACAGCTTGTATAAGATACTTTCTTCCTAAGCATGATATTTAGAAGATGAGAGCTTTGATCAACAAGACGCCCTCCCTCAACACTAATATACCCTATAGCACAGGTAGGCAGGGGAGTAGTATGGTGGTGAATCTCCTGGTGGTGATGGTGATGCAAATGTACAGATTCATAGGTTTTAGACTTACTAAGCCAGAATCTCTTGGAGACCCAGGAATCTATTTTTTTTAAATAGTTTTTCTTATGGGTAATTTCATACATATGTGAAAGAAGACAGAATCGTATAATGAGCCGTCATGTTCCCATCATCTACCTAATGACTTTTGCCAATATTTTTTCACGTAAACCCCTCCTCCCACATTTCCCCCTGTCCAGTATTATATTGAAGCAAATCCAGACATCATTTAATTTATAATATTTCAGTGTAGATCTCTAAGATAAAAAAACTTAACTGCACTATCACTGTTATTCCCAAAACAGCAATAATTGCTTAATATTATTAAATATCCAGTCAGTGTTCAAATTTCCAATAGCATCATAAGTGTCATAATTTTTTTCATGTTTCATTTGAATCAGGCATATTTTTCTGTAAGGTCCTTAGGTGATGCATGGGAAGCCACTGTTGTACATCCTTATTTGTTGAGTTACAAACATACATTGTCCTTCGCCATGAGAAGGTTACACTCTAAAGGAGAAGGCAGGTATCTCAATCCAAAGCATTGCCTGGAAAAACCATACCCTGTTATCATTTGTGCTTCTTATAGGGAGGAGATTTTTAGTTTTTGTTTCTTTAACTTGAAACCTATACCTTATGTGCTCCTTTTCCTCCCAGACCAGAATGAGACAGACTCAATGCTGCTTTGCATGCCTAACTCAGGAAACAGCTAGTAAAATAGCCTTAGAGCACAAATGAGCTTGGCATATTGATGGAGCTGACAGAATGCAGTGAACTGGGCTAGACCAGGGATCGGCAAACTTTTGAGACGGAAGAGCCAATCCTGTCCCTCACAACAATTTAAAAATTATTCGAGAGCCATAAATATATTTTTACAAATAAGGACAATTTAAAGTAATATTATAACAAGTAATAGTATTAATTATATCTTTAATAAAATAAGAAAAATTCACACATGGCACGTACCCAAAGAGCCGCATGTGGCTCGCGAGCTGCAGTTTGCCAACTCCTGCTCTAGATTTCTGGTCTACTTTAAGATTTACATTTGAAGCATTCGTGAAGGGCCTAAAAATAAGCACAGAGACCATTATACTTGTATTTTACTGCTAACTGCTTTGGAAAAACAAACAAAGGATAAATAACAGACTTGAAAACTGACAAAGATTTAGTCATTTACAAAATTCTTACACATATGGTCTTTGATAAATTTGTCTTTTTTGTTAGGCTATCTGTTCACTGAGAGCAGATATCATTTTTATTTTTGATTTTGTATCATAAGCACATTGCATAGAACAAGAAACAAGGCAGGTGCTCAATAAATGTATGATGAGTGAATGAAGTTCTCTGATTTATTTCTGCAAGTGAAGTGATTCCCACAATTCCTCTTTAAACCCCAAAGTCCAAAGATAAAGGCACGGTCACAGTGCCAGTCAGGTGGCATCACTAATGCCCACACAAGGGCTCTTGTATTTAGCTAGGCAGTTTGTGTTTTGGTACACCTGCCTTCATACCAACGGGAACAGATAAAGGAATTAACTCGGAAGCTTAGGGAAATTGTTGACTGAATGATTCTTTTTAAACTTAGTGTTTGGAATTGTTTCTGTTTATGATTCTACAAAATTTATGTTTTAATCCAATTTCACGTTCACACTTCCTTTTTGAGGCCATGAGTAGTTAACAGGATTATGGAGTGATTATCAGCAAGATACAAGGATGATTCATCCTTCCAATATCCTTTCTCCAGCTCTTGTCATAGGAACACTCCCGCTCTAGAAGCAAGCTTGTGTTATAGGCTTGACCAGAAAACGAAGTATACCATGGGCCAGCAAATTAGCTATACTGCATTGCAACCATTACATTTGAGTTCAAGTTCAGCAGTATTAGCATCGAGTACCACAAGACTGGTAAGAAATATTTGTAGTATCCCAGAGAAAGCAGGAGGGAAGGAGGGAGGGAGAATGGGGGGAAGGGGTAGGAAGGGCTCCCATGATACTTTG